AAAGAAGAATTGATTTGCTGTCATTTTAACGTGCCACCTGTCATTTAACTGACGGAAGGACCATTTTGGTACTAAAAATGAAAGTTTAAGGATAATTTTGGTACTTTTTAAAGTTGAGGGATAATTTTGGTGTCAAAGTGAAAAGTTGAGGGACCAAAATGGTACTTAAACCTTATTATTATGTTACAATGATTTATGTATAAGTGTGATTCTCAAGTTGTGATTTCGAACCATATGTATTTCACACCTCTGTTGCTCTTCCTTAACAATGCACAACTTCTCTTCATCACGTTTTTGGTAGTTGTGTAATCATCTAGAATCCCTGGAATCCCACCATTGCTACCCAACTCTACCAGCTTGGCCGAAGGATTCATTTTTTAAAAGCTTTTACTAGAAAGTGCATTGCGAGTTATCATCACCCAATAGAACAGGATGGCCCGTAACACGTAGCCTCTTGCACATGAGATGGGTGCTATCGAAAGAACTCCCTATTTCTCGAGTAGCATCCTAGTCAGCTTCCGCGTCATCATCATTGCTGACTCATTCATCTACATCACTAACACCCCCGAACACTTAGTAAAATAAAAATTAAAAATTGTTGATGGATGTTTTTGTAAAAGATCAAATTTGGACTCGGGTAGTTTCCACGTCACCAAGACTTGCCTTGATCTAAGCACCTATTAATGCCTTCAGTGTGCATTTATCAAAAAGCCCAGCAATATCTAATGTTGTAATACATAGTTAGGCCCAGTGGTATCTATTGTTGCAATACATAGTTGTATCGCTAGAAATACATAAAGAAGTCTCTTTCCTTTATTATTTCCTTATTTATTAAATTTCATCATTTTCATCAATTGATCACTAGTCCTTTATGCAGGTCATCAATAAACCCATGAATCCAAGCTCATGGGGATATTCGAAATAAACTATGGGAGTAGTGGCTTAGTAGGCATGGATGGGTGAACGTTGTCTGTTTGGCGAAGTGAGGTATTCACGTTGGCGTTGTTGCCCGACTTCATCAGCAAGGGCTGAGTGGCGAAGACATGAAGGCAGACTTGATCCCTAAAACAGTATCGTTTGATGCTAACTAGAAGCTTAAAATCTCATTCAAAACCAACCAAAGATGCTGTCTTGGTCACCATTAGCAACTTGTAGTTGTATTCAATGCAAAGGTTGGCTGCACAAGTTACAGTGCATGGGAAACTGTTGAAAAAGATCACATTTTGCTTGCGAAATCTTCCAAAATCATGGGTTGCCCTTGGGAATCTACCAAAATCTTGGCCAGATCTGATTTTGTTGGCTGCACTCAAATTCCCCCCAAAAATGGAATTTCGTATGGTTGGAAGAATTGCCAGAAATAGTCAATTCCTAGTCCTTTGACAGAATCAGCGAAGTTTCACCAGAACCACTGGATAATTCATAATATCACTGCCAAAAAGCTATCAGTAATGCCCAAGGCCACTCAAAACTCGACAGTTCACCCAAATCTACTTATTAGGCTGCTGTGCAACTATGGCCATCAACCAAAAATTACAAAAAAGCCACTACACATATATATTATTTTTCCTTCATTTTTCAACATATTTCAAGAGTTTTCACATATATAACTTTCTTCCTCACGTACCAAAACTCCCATTTTTCCTCAGAAAAATCCTTCAT